AGAGCGGTAGTGATGACACAATATCAGAAAAGCCAGACCCTAATGCTTCAAATTCAAATCCATCTGCCTTACCCCCTGCCGTCCAGTCGAGCTTTTCCGTGGCCTCGCCTCTTACTCTCAGTCAGGATGAATCGCGCAGTATCAAGAGTGAAAGTGACATGACTATTGAAGTTGACAGCGTGGCAGAAGAGTCTCAAGAAGGTCTCTGCGAAAGTGAGTCTGCTAATGGATTTGAAGCCAGTACTACATCAAGCAACTGTAGTATAGCTGTGCAAGAGAGAGAGATGGGAGAGAAAGGTGAGAGCTTCCTGTGAGAAGTCATTCTGTGCTGTAATGATTTCTGAAGTCGTCTAAGCCTTGTGCTGCTTTGCTAAAACTTGCTGGTTTGTTTTGTCTTCTGTTCTTAAATTCCTTTGCTGCTTACAAATAAAAGGTTGTTAGTAGCAGAAATATTTGAGGCATCCATTAATTTTTTTTCCCCTTTCTTCTCATTTAGGTCAAAAAAGACCCAGTGATAGCAATAGTGGAACACTGGCAAAAAAACAAAAGCGTACTCCAAAGCGAACAAGTGCTGCAGCCAAAAATGAAAAGAATGGAACAGGTACATTCCTGGGGGGGAGAGGCTGAAGGTTATGCTGTCCTATAAACATGTATAAGAGACCACTGTTCTCACTATTACCCATCATTTCTGTTGGATGGGACTTCCTTGTCAGGGTTCTTCATTATTAGTCATCATGATTATTGGAAGGAACTTACCAGATGCGTGGTAGCAGTGTTACTGGGAAATCTCTTGGCTTGTAATAACTGTGTATATTAGCAGTAACTCAGTATTTGCTATTATGCTGATTTTTATATATTGGGTTGGTTATGAATTTGGGTGGGGGAATTTGTTCTGAATAGAAGCATCTCCTGTAAAGTCTTACAACAGGTGTTTCTCATCGGGGGGGAGAAAGTGCATTTATGAAGAAGAGGAAAAAAATGCTTGATGCTAAAGAATAACTTTTCAGCAAAAGGAATCTTGTGTGTTTTTATCTTGAGTATGTGACTATTTTTTAACTTGCTAAAGAAATCCAGCATGGCCTTGAACACCTCCAGGGATGGAGCTTCCACAGCTTCTCTGGTGCCACCTACCTATATTCATACAGTTTTAATCTTTAAGAAAGATTTTAGTGTCTGCTTTATATTAGAACCCCAAAATATATGACTTTATTAGAGAACTGATAAGCTATCTTCTCTTATTTTAATAAGCTGCTTTACTGCTTCTGTAAAAAAAAAAAAAAATAAAATTGACTATCGCGTTGTAACTAACGGCTTAGTCAGCCCTGGACTTCTCCTGTATTACCGATCAGTACACTTGAGAGTTCAGTGCATGTTGTGTCTGATAAGGTTACACATTCAATCTGGTACTGTTTTTCCTTATATACATTCTAGGATCTTCTGAACAAGAAGGAGCAGTTTTTTCTTAATAATTTTTTCTGACTATAACTAAAATTTTTAAAATGTCAAGGTGGTGTTTTGGGTTTGTTTTTTTTTTTTTTTTTTTTTTAAGTCCCAATACTTTTTCTCTTACTTCAGGACAAAGTAGTGACAGCGAAGACCTTCCTGTCCTGGACAGTTCAAGTAAATGTACTCCTGTAAAACACATGAATGCATCCAAACCACAAAAGATTTCTCGATCACCTGCAAGAGTGATTTCACCTCACATCAAAGATGGAGAGAAGGATAAACACAGAGAGAAACACCACCACCAGAATGCTTCGCCTAGAGTATACAAATGGAGTTTTCAGCTCAGTAAGAATTCTTTAAGTGACTTGATGAGAGGGAATTCACAAGCAAACTTGTTCTGAAAGAAAATATGCAAATTTGGGGATTCTAAATTAGGTATAGGCCTTTTACTGTATAGTTATGGAAGTGTGTTATCATTCGTGCTGCATCTTGTATACTCTTAAGAATTGCATTCACTTGTGTAAAATCCCCTTGCTGAAGCTATTTTTTCTTTTCTTCCCACTTTTAAGATGAACTAGACAATATGAGCAGCACTGAAAGGATCTCCTTCTTACAAGAAAAGCTACAGGAAATACGAAAATACTACATGTCCTTGAAGTCAGAAGTAGCAACCATAGACAGGAGAAGAAAACGATTAAAAAAGAAGGACAGAGAAGGTAACTTTCAGATTTGCTTGATGCTTCGCATGACAAGTTAATTTTCTTGAAAATACGTAACTCAAAGCAACTTGAGTTTAATTGACAGTATTTTTGGAAAAAGTGTTGTCTTTTTTTCCTGTTTGTATGTATACATATTTAGAAAGAATATTTGTGGCTTTTCAGAACTTGAACCTAACAAAAACATTCACTGTTTTACAACTGTGTATTACAAACTTGGACTTCCTAGCACAAGCTCGGTCTGAGTTTTCAATCAGAGTAAATGACTCATTTGATTTATCTTTTCAATTGGTCTGTGATGCAGAAAGGGTAGGGTCATTTATCCAGTTTATGTGAATACAGCGATGAAAGCAATTGACAAAAAATCCATACCGGTTTTCAGTGACTGTGCCAGTTCCTTGTGGTCTTTTAAACAACCTGATAACCAAGGAAACCTTCATTCTGACATGCGCTTTGATGATCTGATGCTGATCTGTTGTTCTGTGTATTCAGTGTCCCATACAGGAGCATCCATGTCATCTGCTTCATCAGACACTGGAATGAGTCCATCATCATCTTCTCCTCCACAGAACGTCCTTGCTGTAGAATGCAGGTGATACACATTTCTCTGGCTTGCCAGCAACTTGCTGCCATGGACATAAATCCTGAAGTTCAACCGCAGAAAGCACTCAACTGGTTTGACATTGCCAAGTATATTCTGTACACACTTCCACTGCTGGACTGTATCCCCTTTTCCCCTCCTACCCTCTTCTTTTGTTTAATTTACCGTTCAGAGAAATTAAGCTCGTTGGTAACTGAAGGTTTGTAGGCACAATGTGACATGCTCGTCATTGTGTTTGTTTTTGTTTTGTTTTTATTAATGCAGAGAAAGGGCACTTATCAAATTTGAAAAGTTATGTCCAATGAAGCATTCAGGTGTTCTAGGGAGATCTTAGAAAAGCAAGTGCACCAAGCAGACATCAGAGGATTATCAAAAAGAATTGAGTAACTGCTGCACTTTCACCGAGCTGTGCATTAACTCTTGGTGAGTAGTTCCTCTTTGTGGAAGCACTTGCTATACAGAACTGCCAAAGTACGTGTTCAGCAACGTGCCCAGTTTTAAAGGTGTAAATGGGACAAAATAAATTGTGAAAGGAAGTGTAGTTGACTGAAAACTACAGTTGTAATAAGTCTTCCACTTTTTATAGGATTTTTGAGCACACAATTATGCAAATATTTTAATGTTTATTAATGTTTACAGTGGAATTGTGAATAGGTTTTCAGTGGACTATCTTATCCCTTGACAAAAATATTTTGTCTTTTTTCTATGTAATTTCAGAGTTTTTATTTTGTTACAAAAAGACGAAAAATGAAATATATAACAACAATGAAGTTATTTAACAAGATTTCTAAAGCTGAAATTTTTGTGTAAAATAAGGTATCTTGCAACTTGTTAAATATATTTATTCAGACATTGGATGTTGTATTTTTATGTATTTTTTAAAATATTAATAAAATTGGAAAAAAAAAACTCTAGGTTAGTTCACTCTTTCGATAAAACATACTTACCAGTTATGGCTCTTACGGAGGTTTTATCCAGTAGCCATGCCTGCATTTCACATGGGTCTGTCTACGGATCCTCCACACCATAGATCTGTAAGCGGGCGTCTGGATTAAACTATGACTTTATTTGGAAACTTTGGCAGTCCTAGTACTTACATTGTTTTGAGGAACAAAATTTATTGGGTTGCCCTTAAGATACTTTGTCACAAGTTCTTATGTTTGCTATACTGCCGAATGAATTTATATCTCCCAAAGTTGAGATGCAACAATAAAGTAAAGCAACTGTGTATGCTTCGTCTGTGGATTGTCCCACGGACAGATACAGTTTGTAAATAACTCTTCCAAAACCATGTATTTAAAACAGTTTGCATATACATTATGTATAAAAGTGATTTTTTTATCAATTTTTTTATTCATGTTTGTACATTGAAAGGGGTTCTTAACCCCTTTTTCTGTGTTTAATATGCTGTAGAGTAATAACATAGATGCTCTAGACTGTATATCAGGATATTCTGGTTCACACGGCAGAAAGAACGAAACACTAGTGATGGCGTAGCATTACTAAAATTGATGTTTCTTGAAACTTCATTTTACAACATTTGTCAACTTGTGATTCCAATTCCTTCCATTTTCACAGAAAATTAAAGAAAAAGTACTCTTGTAAATGCACTTTTTCTGTCTTTTCTTAAGCAAAGCAGAACTATTTCAATGTAAGATAAATATGGAGCTCACTAGACAGCATTAATAAAGGCCATGTTTTAAACATAGGCTTTATATTCTATTTTTATTTAAGTGATTGTTCTTGTAAATGTCTGGACTTACCTAAATAGGAAAATTTATCTCCATAAATCATTGTAAAGACTTTTTTTTCAGAGCTAACTTTTACTGTTAATCTTACAATAGCTATGAATAAAAAGCAATACTCATTTAAAAGGAAATAACATGGGTCACATTTTCTTAGATTATCTTCCATGTTTAATATTTGCAGAAGTAAATTTTAAATTCGGTGAAATAATAGGATTAATTATATTTTACGCAGATATCTAACCTCTGTCTACAAATTCTCTGAGATCTTACACGGCCATATACACGTACTCAATGCACAGAGGATGGCTGAGCTCTTAACTGTCTGGACATCAGGACAGATGTTCACAGAGTGTACACTGACTGCTTCTCCTTATCTCTTAGGAATGCTTAAAATATTGCATGGAAGACTGAAGGTATGGTTCCATGAAACATGGCAATCCATTCTAACAGAGGGGTGCTAGAGAATTCGCTTCCTTACTTCCTCTTTCCACCTGCTTACCTTGCGCTAGTACTCATCAGACAGACAGACACCCAGCCACTCACACCTCCCACAGCCCCCAGTAACAACTAACATCACGGTTCTGGCAGAAAACTAAATCTGCAAGAAAAGGTGGATGACTCTCTGCCAAGCTACTGGCAAAGCCCTCTAGCACGTTACTGATTTCCTAGTTATATCTTTCTGGCAAGAAGAGTATCAGTTAGGCAGGTGATTCAATAGATGTTTAAAGTAGTTTCTTATGACATCTAGAAATAATACCATAGGGAAAAGAAGATTAACTATGTAATATGGGACTACCTGTACTAAAGGTGAAATCCGCAGGAAACCATACCGTTTTTTTTACTATAATCCCCTCATTTCCACTTTGTTGACACAAAATAAATTCCACATTGTCTTCCAGTGCCTTGAATGAAAGTTTATGCTGTCGAGGAGACAGTAATTACAATTATACTGAATTGGGATTTTATTTTTTTTTTTTTAGATAAGAGATTAGGTAACATGTTTGCAAGAGCAAGCAAAAATAAAAGCGCTCTCTTGGCACTCTTCACGCTGTTCTCCTGCCTTCTGATCTTTTATAGTTTTTCTCAACATGATACATGTTATTTCAAGCTTAATTAGGACATAAAAAAAATAGATATATAAGTAAGATTATGGGATCAAACACTGTTAGAACTATTAAAAAGAACAGGGCTGTAAGAGAATTCAGGCTCTCCCCCCACCTCCTGCAATTGATGCAAAGAACTGTCAGATTCTGGCAGATTTATTATTTTTGTATTAGCATATATCTGAAAGTTGGAAAAAACTTGAAACATTTGCATGCCAGGACAGAAAATAAAAAAAGGTTCATTTCCCTCTTTATTTTAGTTTTTACTTTCTTTTTCTGTATGCTAACGAGTTTTTATTTTGTCTCTAATGTGTAAGTTTAGCAATACCCAGTTAAATCTCCACTTGTTTTTGGCTCATCCAGCAGATTGTTTGAGAAACCTTCTCTTGCTTAATCAGTTTTAACGGATCAGCCAGGAGAAGCAAAAATGTTGGAACAGTAATAACAAGACATTATTTCAGCAGAGGTTAAACAAATTTACGTAGCAATTATCAGTGAAAGAAAAGCGTAACAAGGGTAAATAAAACTGTATCTTCATGAAGCATAAAGTATCTGACTTTCCTGAGGAACAGTGAAGACCTTTAATTTCAAGGACAGCAGTAGAAGAGAAAAAGTGGTTAAATCACTGCTTCGCTGTTGCGATTTTGCACAAGTTCCACTTGAATCTCATTTTTGTTAAAGGTGCAGTATTAGAATAAGCTAGGTGCAGATTTTTTAAATGGATACATATTTTCATTTTACCTGTAGGGAGCCACATAGTAATGGATACCAAAATTACCTAGTATGGCTTTGATGGGGAGCTGGAAAGAGAATCTGAATTTTAGGATTGTCAACTCCTCTGTCTCATTCAGACTATCCACTCTCTCTCTCCAAATAGGTTTGTCAATCAGATGGAATTTCACGTTAAAAAAAATAAATATTCTTCTAAGATGTTCATCTTTTCCCCACTAAAAATTTTCTTGGATAGCTGAGGCAGCCAAATGGGTTTTCTGGGCAGTGTTTACTGGAATTCTTTTACAGCAGTAAGTCTAAGAAATGCCATTGCGCTCTTTTAAGAAAACAGCATGTTTGGTTTGATCGCGCAAAGCAAATCTGGCAGATAAGCCAGAAGATAGATTCACAAGCTGAAACAGAAGATGAGTGTGCTAACAAATGTGGAGCTTTGCCCTTGTACAGGCATTGTGCACTAAAATCCTGGTTATTTTTACTTCTCTGTACTTGGGATTTTATTATTTGCTACAATGTGCAGGATAAAGACTACCTCTGGAGATGTAAGGAACATAATAAAGTAGTGGAACCAATGGACATGTTGCCAGAGACTGACTCACTATAGTTCCAGGGCTTAGGAAAAAGACATTTTATAATTAGCTCACGCTATTTATCAAGCTATTGCCCTCAAAATTTGAGAAAATCTGTCATTCTACCATTATCCACAACACAGGATGATTTTTTTAAGAGGTCTCTGGGAGAGTTTAAATTTATTCACCTTCATTACGTACTGCTAAGTAGCTGGTATTTACTGGGGAGCTTTTTTTTGCTTTGGAAATCTGTGAGTTCCCCGAAGTCCACAAGCATTTATTAGTCTCATCCATTGCTTTGGAGCAATATCTAAATTCAGTTTTTCATGTTAGAGTGTTATTAGTCTGAATATGTGTATCTTTTAATGCAGTGGAGTGGTGGATTTTGCACTAGTCAAATCCCAATGACAAATGCTTCACTGGCATTTAAAGAAAACTGAAAAGATTAAGGCAATCTTAATTGCAAAAGCAGACTGTTTCTCACCCTTTCTAAGAATAGGTCTTCCTTGGCTTCGTCTTTGTTTTGAATCATCTCAGCCCTCTTTATGTTGCTATACCTGCTTCTTCCCATTTCCAGAGAAATCCTGTTCTCTGTTTCGGAGCAGGGCTGTGCTAGTTGGTTCTGCTTCAGGTCTGCAACTACCTGCTATTTATATCAGTTAGTACCCTTGTGCTGTTGCTTATCCTATACCAATAGTTTTCAAAGGTAAAAAAGTGTCTGTGTTTTATGACACTTGGCTTTAATTCACCAGTACAGCTGACTCATTTTGAAAAAAAACAAAACCACAGCAGCATTGCAACGCTTATTTTCTCTCTGATTCATTACTTGCCAGCCAAGAAAGTCAGCACAGGAGTTCCATTACAGCTGTGAAAACCTGCAGGTTGCTTATCGGTAGCGTGTTTGCTTCACTCCCACTCTGAGCCTTGTCGGTGAGGGACACAGTTCAGTGTCGTTGGTGATGTCTCC